AAAGCAAGGCACACACGCCTCCTGCTCAGAAGTCAAGGACACCCGCACCTACGGGCTACCCACTCTGCAGCAGCAGATCCTGGGGCAGGTACAGGCACACCCAGACTGAAGGGCTGGATACCCTGCTGACAGAGACGCCAGTCGTTCCAAAAAGGCTTCCGGTTTCTAATAAGTCAATTTCTCCACTGTAATTTCTTCTAGTTCTTTCAAAAGACTTCCATGTTAATGTGCTATCTTACACCCAGTGGGGAACTACCCTTCCACTTCAGAGGAGAGATCCTGTCGGAGCCACATCCCACGAGCCCCTCCCCTCACCAGTGAGTTAAATTCCTAACTTTCCACAGCCAGCCAGCCTAAGACAGGATGAAAGGCAGTTCAATGCTGCTTTTGTGTTCTCTCAACATTTTACCCACCAATCAAAGCTGCCAGGGCATAGCTTAAGAACATCCATTTCTCTTCAAAACCTGTTCTTTATTATTAAAATTCCCTAAAAGAAATCTGAACTTCACCAAGTTCATTATCTTTCAAGGCAAATGCAAACAGCAAGAGAATGTGGCACACAGCTGTCTCCAGTATCCTTATATCTATCTCTGAGAGGTTGCGCAACTGCTTCCAAGGATTGGCTTAGACTTAAGAGACTCACAGGAGATGGGACACTCTGGCTTCCTCCCACCTCCAGGTGCCAGATACCCAGGGGCCCAAGAGAACCGACTGAAGCCCTACGGCATAGGCTACTCAGTGGACACGCAGACAAAATCCCACCTCAAGTCACAGGGACGCAAAGAAGTGGTCTGTGCAGCAGGGTTCTGCTTGGAAGGCCTGAGCCCCACAGGGGGTCCCCTCTGAAACCCAGACACCTGAAGTGTAAAACATACAGGTTCAAGACTGTGTACTGTTTATGCTAGGTGTCTTGGGGCAACAGAAGAGGGAGAACAAGAGTAGCAGTCTGTTTAAAAAAGGTCATTAACATTTATCAATAAAAAAATTAATCATCTACTATGTACCAGCACTACAGAAGGATAAATAGCTTTATTTCTGTTTTACAGATAAAAGCACTCACAAAGCTAACACAATTTCTCAAGGTTTACTGCAAGCAGGAAAAGCAGGGACAAATGACCACTACCCTGGTCCTACAAGAGCCAACTTTCCCAAGCTGAGAAGAAAAGACAATACCCAAAATACTTCAAACGTGCAGACAAAAGAAAACCGAAGGGAGAGGAAGGGCTGACACATACATAATCCCACAAACATTTACATATTGGCTTTATTTCCCACAGTAGGAGCATTTCTATTAATTCTCCACAGGAGGACAGGGAGCATTCGTTCACGCTGGCTAGAAACGTGACTTGTACAGTAGGTCCCATTTTAACAAAATACAAGGTACCTCCCTCCCTCCTTTAGGTAACTTTTCTCAACTGTCTAATAGAACAGGAGGAGCCAGCAATACCCCACTTGCCAGACAGAGGAGTCTATGTGGGAATTCCGGAAAGCTCTGCAAGTGAAATGCAGAGCTCTAGCCCCAGATGTTTGACACTGGCCAACTTTCTTGCTGGGTTAGGACTAGTCCCATGGGGCTCTTAGGGTAGGAGCAAAGAAGCTTAAATGGCCACACAGGCCCCTTATCACTTGAAAAAAGGAGAAAAACTCCAGAGAAGACATGGGGCAAGTCTCAGCAACCACGGGAAAAGTAAGCACAAACAGGCCAAAAGGGTGCTGGGCCAGGACAGAGGAGCCCACACTACCTGTGCACCCTAGCCCAGCCAGGCTGTGCAGGGTCACCTCCCCAGAGCCAACTGAGGAGGAAGCCCTGGTAGGCAAGACACTTTGCAGCCTGTCATGTTAAGGGCTTAGGGACATCTACAGCAAAAGGTATCTGACTAGTTCCCTGAGAAAGGCAGAATTTGTCTCTTCTGTGGAGAAAGCAGGTGCTAGAAAATCCGGCCACATCCAAGTTTGGGAGGCATCTGAGTCTCTGAGAGGAAGCTTTCCTATTAGTGACTATCAAAACCAGTTCCAAAAAAACAAACAAACCAAAAACCCAACCAAAAACCAGTTCCACACATGAGATGAATCCAAAGTTTCAGCATTCCTCCCTGAGAAGGGACAATGGATCTCTCTGTTACTGTGTCTCTTGACTCCCCCCACAGGCTTGTGGGTCACAAGTGGGACAGGGGACACCTCATCCACTTCACATTCGCAGGCCCTATTTCCTTGGCTTTTGCCTGCCTAAAAGCAAAGCCCAGGCACAATCTCACAGCAATGGGGTAACAACCCCATATGGGGCTGTAATAAGTGGCCAGCTAGTCTTGCCAAAGTGATACTTTTTGATGTTATACATCATACATCCTGTCCTACCTATACCAGAAAGCCATTTCATCCATCTGTCTGGAAAATGATCCTTTTTTTTTTGAACCGGGGATTGAACTCAGGCCCCAAGCGCTTATTCTACTGAGCCATCTCCCCGACCCCATATGATTCAATTTTGGCGCCTTTATCACTGATGCTTTCAGAACTTTGTCCTACTTCCCCTACTGTAATTACTTTTGAATCATCAACACACCCAAGCCAGCTTAACACTCAAAGAGAACAAAATGCTCTTAAAAAAAAAAAAAAAAAAAAAGTGCAATCGAAAACAATTTCACTAAAAAACCACCCGTCCTAGAAACAGTTCTTTCCAGAAACTTCTCAATAACCTGCCTTCCACTTTCCTCTTTTCTAAAGGTAGGCAGAGCTTGGGGATGGGATGTGGCAGAGACAGAGCTCCTCAAGGAGCTAATTAAAACAGCTGCTCCCTTCCCTCCCCTCCCTTTGGTTTTTGTTTGAAGATGCAGATTGCAATGATGTAGCACTCAAAGTTGGCGTCCTGGTTGCTGAGTGCCCGAGCAGCCCCGGAGCCAAGTAAGTCTTCTCAGGAATGCAACTAAATTACAAGGGAGGGGAGGGACCGACCAGGCCAGTGGCTGCTGGTTTGAAACTTCAGATTCCTCTTGGCCTAAGTTTGAAAGATAAATCACACACACAAAAGAAAATAAAAATGTTAACACCCTCCCCCAAGAAAATTCAACGGGCGCGACCCGACACTGTACAGAAGTGGCCTTTCTGTTGATCTCTAATTCCGCCACTGCTTCAGGATGGCCCTGGTGGATGCAACTTTCAGCTCTGATCTCTAAGTGGCCAATTCACAGCCCAGCTCTCCTTCCTTCTGGCACCGCCGGCCGCTACAAGGGCCATCCTTCCTCAGGATCCCCTGCAGAGGAGGGAGAAGCAGGGGGAAGCACAGGGCTGCTCTCACAGGCTTCTCACCACCACTGCCCCCTCGTGTCTTCTTCCCCCACCCATCTCTTTACTTTTAGCTAGCTCCGAGAGTCTTTTCCCAGGAAGAGGTTGGGAAAAGAGTGGAAAGAGTCCAGCAGTGAGTTATAAACACAGGCAGGCTCTTTTTCAGCTCTCAGCACAGCTGAACAGCGAGAGGAGGTAGCTAAGTTGCTGCCTGGGTCACACTGGCCTCCTGGGTCACACTGGCCGGTCAGCACTGCTGCCGAAGGTCGGGGAGGCCTTCCGGGGGTTGTGATCTGAGTAGGTGTAGCTCCATCCCTCCTTAGGCAGGGGAGTCAAGAGGCATGCACTACCCACCCCCATTCCACGGAAAGAATTCCACAGAGGCTGACACACCACCCCAGCTGTTTTGCCCCTAGCAAGATGGGGGTGTTCTTTGGGAACACGAACTCCTCCACGAGTAAGTGACCTGCTAAGGAAGCCAAATGTAGGGGTGGAGGTGGGGTATGGGGCGGCACAAGAGCCCCGTGGCTGGCCACCTACCAGGGCTTAGCAAATTTAAGCGCAGCACTGGCCCTTCACACCTATTGGAAGAGGGACCCAAAAGTGGAAGCACAAATCTAATCCCAGGAGCATGTTAACTCCCGTGCCTCGAGGGTCAAGTAGACCAAGCCCTGAGTTCTCCAGAAAATAACCGGGGTCAGTCCTCGCTCCCGCTATTTTGGACACATTCTTCTAAGCCAAAAGAACATGGGGGAAGGTGAACGAGTTTCGAGGCCTCCCATAGATCCCAAACTAAGCGACTACATCCTCTGACCCAGCCTTCACCCTGCCCTCACAGGAGGCAGGGTCTCCCTGCGCCCGGTCTCCAAGCCCCCCTCCCCCGCGAGGGGTCTGCATCTCCTCCGGACACTCAAGAAGGTGGAGACCACGAGGCGCTGTCCACGAAGAACTAGCACTTTTTCGCTGCGCGATTCAGAAACACGCCGGGTCTGATGCCATCCGGCGAATTATGTAACCAGGGGCACCGCTCCTGAGCTAAACAAACGCGGCTCTGTGTGCAGCGGCGGCCCCGGGGGAGCGCACCGAGGCGGGGAGGGGCTCCGGCCGGGCCTCGGCTCGGGCTTGTTTGCTCAGCGAAACCGGCGGGAGGGCGCCCGTCCGAGCCCCGCGCGGCCCAGGGCCCGGCCCCTCCCCCACCGCGGCCGCCCCCGCTCCGGGCTGCCAACTTGGTCCCAAGTCCCACCGGACGTCGTCACCGCCGGCGGCCTGAGAGATCTCGGCTTGGGGGACTAGGAAACGCTGAACTCCAGCCCCGGCTCAGCTCCAGCTCCGGACCCCTCTGCCCCCTCCCCACCTTCTCCCATGGTCCCGGCGCAGCCGCGCACCGCGGTGCAGGAAAGTGACGACCCCCGCCCCCACGCACACTCGGGAGGGGGCGGACGCGGGTGGGCTCGTGCTACAGGCGCTACCCTTCGGCGTCTGGGCCGCGGAGGGAGGGGCTGCGGGGCCGGCTGACAGCTGCGCGGGTGACACCCCTCCCCCTTGGGCGCGAAAGCCCGGGCCCGCGCAGCCCCCAGCGAGGTCTGCGTACCGACCCGGACGCGGGGGCAGACGGATCATGGAGCCCCCGGGGGTCAGGGCCCCGGACGAGGGTTCTGGGATATGTTGGCCCCCTTCCCGTCCGGGGGCGACGCAAAGTTTTGGGAAGTTGCTGCCCCTACCTTGCTTGGTGAGCACCAGGGCGTCTTCCCTCCGCGCCTGGGTGATGATGGAGCCGTGTTCCATCTAACAATTCCGCGGGCCCGGGCTGGCTGGGCGGGAGGACGGGCGGGCGCGCGGGCTGGGCAGGGCTGGGCTGGGGGCCTGGGCGGGGGCCCGCTCCGCTCTGGCTCCCTAGTCTCCGATTCCCGCCGCTGTTCACATCCCCCCTTCTCGTTTCCTCCCCGGGCCGGGAAGGGAGGTGGCCTGAACTGAAGGCGGGCGGCCCGGGCAGCGGATCCCCCGGGTGCCCCCGGCCCCGATCCCCCGGTGGCAGCTCCGGGCTCCTCAGTTTGGGTCCAACATGGAGAATCCGGAGCGAAAACAAGAGGAGGAAATGGGACACGGGGCGGTTTCCAGGCTCCCCCCTCCCCTCCGTACTCCAGATAAACAACCCGCGGCTGCAGAGCCCACCCCCGCGCGCTTCTCCGCAGCTGACCCGGCCTTTCCACGGCCTGCCGGTGCTTTCCACTCCGCGCCAGCGCCCTAGGCCCCGGGACCCTTCACTTGTGAGCGGCCGGGGCTGCGGACAATCCAGAGCTTTGCTATTTTGTTACGGAAAACGCGAATCCCCGAGGGGGGTGGGGTGGCGGGCGGGCAGACTGGCGGGGGAGACTTGAAACCGCTCCGGCGCTCCGATTGGCCCTCTAGGAGAAAAGGGGCGTGGCCCCTCCTTACTATGCGGTGCGAGGACCCAACAACATTCCAATCGCCACGGCCACGCCTCCGGGCCACTCCCCCCTCTCCAGGCTGCGGCCTCCCAGTATCCTCGGCCACACCCCCTTTCCAACTACTTAAAAAGGCCACTCCAAAGCTCACGTTTTCCTGCTCGGTGCTTGGGTGTTCTAGTCACTGCAGTCTGTCTGCTCGAGGGCGGCAGAATGGTTCCGCCCTTTGGGTAACCTGGGCAACCTGGGCGAGCCGAGAAGTTTAAACTGGATTGGGCCAGGGCTCAGGGCAGTTACCATACTTCCTGCTTGGCCCTACTCAGGACGCACTGATTCACGGGAAAGTATAACCATGGAATCCTGAAAGGATCTGGGGAGGAGAGACGATCCAGTGGCAAAGCTGGAACTGACCTCAGGACTATGACCTCCACAGTTCAAAAGAGACACACAGACCTGAGTAACAAGGCTTTACTGAGCTAAGTACTTTATTCTCATTCAGGCATCTCTTCCCCCAAATAGTCCCATCCTCAGTCCAGCTGGCTGGAATTCTCTCCAGCTGAAGTTTCAGCGCTGTGGACTCGGGCCGCCCCCTGCTTGCTCGTTAGGGACCCAAGGTGCCCTACCAGGGGGGGTCCCTCTTGGACTTTTAAATTCCCTCTGCTCAAGGTTGTAGGTGAGGGATTTCCGTTTGTCTCCACAAGGTGGTAGCTCCAGAAAGGCAGATTCCAGCTCAGTAACAGGTCCTTTTCAGTGATCTACAACTGTCACAGGAGATGTGAGTTGCCTTGGGAGGAAGGGAGCTAGCTGTTGAGCTCAAGGTTGGCAGGAATGGGATAGAGTGAGCTTGCAAGAGGTGCTTTCTGAGCTGCTCCCAACCGGAATATGCTACGACTCAGTGGAACTCCCCTACCAAAGAAAGGCCTTCCAGAAAAGGCCAGGACTTGCCTGGGCCCAAGGGGATGGGGCAGCTAGTGAGCTTCCTGCTGTACTTCCCATTGCCCAATGTGTGTCAGGTCTTCCTCGTTGGTGTTCAGAGAACAGTCAAATTTGCCAGGTTCTTTCATTGTGACACATAGGCATCTGCGTGCCTTAACTGTGCCTCTGCTCATGTGTTCTGCTGTCCTACACACACACACACACACACACACACACACACACTCTTTATATAACACCATTTTAATGGAAATTCTGTTTTTTTAAAAAAATGAAATTGGCTGTTACAGAAGATCTGAATGATGCTTATATAACTTTAAACACTGAGTTTGGGTAGATCCTAATTCATTAACAGAGGGAAAAAGAAGTTCTGACATATGTACCTCCCACCATGAAAAGAACAGGCTCTTCAAGATAAATATTCAGTAGTCAGGTTGCTAGGAGGCCTTTCTGTCCCTACCCGTACCCTCCTGCAAGGTAGGTCTGTTGCAGCAGGAGCAGAGAACAGAGAATTGAGAGGGCCCGGTACCCCATTACTGCAGTGGTGGGTAGAACACTTTCACCTCCCTGCTTCCATTTTCAGAGCAGAAGAGACAGTCCATTCCCTTCTAGCATGTTCAAAAATCTTCCACATACATTGTCTCATTTGGTTTGTCTTTAGACCTTTAGACTTGAATCCTTAACATTTTATCCACATAAATAAATAAAATTAAAAAAAAAAACATTTTATCATAGTTCTCTTCCTAGCTACAGAATGGAGAAAATTCTAGAACCTAGCCAAATGCGTACTCTCACATGACGGTTTTATAATCTACATACACTCACCAGGAACTTGCGACTTAAAGAGGCATGGTTTGTCCATTGGCTTCCCAAATAAAAGGCATATTGAGATACTGTCCTCTTCATTACTGAAAAATTTTTAAAAAATATTTTTGGAGGTGCCGGGGAGATGGCTCAGTAGGATAAGCGCTTGACTGGCAAACACAAGGATCTGAGTTCAATCCCCGGTTCTACCAAAAAAAAAAAAAATTTTTTTTGGAGATAGGGTCTTACTATGCAGTTTGGGCTGGCTTTGTGCTCACTTTCTGTAGCCCTCAGGCTGTCCTCGAACTCACACAGATCCTCCTGGCTCAACCTCTCAAAGTGCTGGGATTACACCACATCCCGGGCAGAGATGGTGGGCCTGAGGATCCTGGGTCAAGGCTGCAGGTCGTGTGGGGCCAGGGATGGAACTCTGGTCTTTGTGCTTGCCAGGCAGGTCCTTACGCCTCTGAGCTATCTCTCTGGCACCCATTACTGAATTTTTGAGGGGCCTTCTGGCTTAGTACCTGATAGAGAAGGGTCACAGTTTATGAATTTGCTCTGTACATTTTTACTTTAGATCTTATGCATGGTTCTTTTGTTCAGAGGTTCAGTGGCCCATAGCAAGAAACACATTTTGTGAGATGTTTCATGGGATAGTGTTTTACCTTTGACACTCTGACACTTTATTTATTTATTTATTTATTTATTTATTTATTTATTTGAGACAAGGTCTTGCTGTGCAGTTCAGGGTGACCTTGAGCTCACGTTGTAGCCCAAGCTGGTCTCTAACCTCAATGATCCTCCTGCCTGAGCCTTCCACTTGCTGGGATTTCAATTGTGCACCATCACACCCTGCACCACTCTGATATTTATTTCACTTTCAAAGATGCTCTGTAATAGGTTTTGTGATCCACTTCTGGGTTATGCCCCAGTATTAGAACAACACTGCTCTCACCTCCTGTGTGCTCTCCTCCCTTTGGTGGGTGGTCTTTGAAAAATGCAAGGAGATGACCTTCAAGCACCTCTTGCTTTGAGGTCAAATGACAAGTTCATGTATAATAAAAAGAAATTCTTCTCAGGCCAGAGGCACAGGGATGTGAATACAACTCAGCAGGAAGGGTGAAGGACGGATATAAGCGGAAGGCAGAATCTCTGCACAGGGTTGGTCAGGCCCTCTGTGCCCCAGAGACTGCAAAGGTAGTGGCAGTTTTACTGGTGTCTGGGCTTCTTGCTGCTCTGCCCCCAGATGGCTGGGAACAGGTCTCCACGCTCAGAAGCTCCCTAGGGCTTCAGTGGGCCTCTTTCCTACAATTAAGGTGGTGAGGGAGGTGGATGCAAGTGGCCATTCTAACTTCTGCCTGCCACAGCCTCCTGCATCGCCTGCTGTCTATAGGTCAGAGGCCCATTGCTTCCTATGTAACTTTAGGTGGCCCATGTAATTTGATTCAAGAGTTATGACTGAAACCAAGGCTTTCTTGGCATAAAACCCCTTCCAAAGACCCACTAGCTGCCCTAGTCACCTACCCGCTCCATCCTTGGCCCTAAGTCTCTCTGAAAGTTTGGTGAGAAGCAACTTGGCAACAGCAGCACTGCCCAGCCCCCCAGCTGGACCTGGGACCATAAGGGTGGGGCTCCCTTGCAGTGACCATCCTGTTGATCTCCTGAGGCTATTGAAGTCAGACTGGGTGTTCCTGAGCTGAAGCCGGGGAAAGGGAAATGGAGCTGGAGGAGCTTCCTCTAGGAGACCTCTTGCCTGCTCCCGGACCCCGCCTTTTCCCCAACAGAAAGTAAGGACTAAGTGCAGGGTGGCCTTTTCTGATGTCATTAAAATGTTACTTTTTTGTGTACTTTTTATTATTCTTATAAATGGAACACTTTCTTGGTTTTTCAGATTGTTCCCCCCTGTCTTGGTTCCGTTCTATATTGTAACTGGGAAGGTGTGGTCTTGGCGCCAGGGCTCCAGAGCCCTGTGTCATCCTGTCACAAGGCTTGTGCAATGCAGTCCTGTCCTGGCATCCCTTTGGCTAAGTAAGTTCCTTGGCTAAGGTAGCTGGGGTGTAGGACGGAAACTGGTGACAGTGACTGAAATGTGGGAGTGCCAGATACTGAATCCTGGAAGGACGAAGCATAGGGTGTGGGTGTGAGAGTGTGTGTGTGTGTGTGTGTGTGTGTGTGTCTGTGTATTGAACCCTTTCCACTGAGCTATATCTGTTATCCCTTTTAATTTTGAAACAGACTCTTGCTAAATTGCTAAATTGCCCAGGCTGGGGAGATAGCACAGTAGAATAAGTGCTTGCCTGGCAAGTGCAACGTCCTGAGTTCAATCCCCAGTACTGCTAAATAAATAAATAAATAAATAAATAAATAAATAAATAAATTGCCCAGGCTGGCCTTGAACTTGTGACTCTCCTGCTTCAGCCTCCAGAATACTGGGATAACAGGCATGTGCCACCATACCTGGCTAGAGCTTTTCTATAGAGCAGCCTAGAAAACCTTACAGGGGCTCCAGATGATGAATTCTTTTTTTTTTTTTTTTTTTTTTGCGGAACCGGGGATTGAACTCAGGCCCTTGCTCTTGCCAGGCAAGCGCTTATTCTACTGAGCCATCTCCCTGGCCCCAAGATGATGAATTCTGTAAGGTAGAGGCATGCTCATCACCCGAGAGATAATAGTGCCTAGCAACATCACCATCATCAATCATCAACTGTTCCTCTGAATCTGTTCCTTTGGCCTCGGGTCCCCAAGCTGGAAACCTTAAGTCATCCGATTGTCTTTCTCCCTGCTCCTGCCTAGCCACAGGGAGTCCTGAACATCTGTGGCTTCTCTCCAGTGTTTGTCAGGCCCTTTTTTTCCCTTTTCCATTCCCAGAGTTGTTCTCTCAGGGGAGGTCGGTACCAGATCCCTAAGCAATCTTTTTCATCCTCTAGGTCCCAAATCCAAATCCATCCCCAGTTCCTAGAAAATGAAACTCTTCTCCAAGACTTTCAGAATGAAGTTCATCAGAGGCCTAGGTTACTTCTGCCTCAACACTCCACCCTTCCCTTCCTGCGTGGTCACTAGTCACCCTTGAAGACACAACTCAAGTTCTGCCTCATCTTCAAGCCCTCCCAGGTCCCAATCTGACTCAGATGCTTCTCCGAGC